TAAATAGGCCCGGTAAATTTATAGTAGTGCACAACAACAAGCATTTCATTCATGAACGCGGGCGTAGTTTTAACAAGCAACCTCGCTTCATTCAAAATGAATACCCTCATCTCCCGAGCATTAACGTCTACAAGCGTCTTTTTCACGACGATGGCAAAGCTAAAATCATAAATCGAACAAATTTCTGATGTTGCCCCAGAGGAAAGTGACAACCCTCAAATATAGTATTAAAATATTTTAGAATAAAAGTGACAACGTCAATATATTTGTCGTTACAATTCAAAGCTTTTAAAAATATTCAACATTCCTCTGATTTAACATATTATACATTAAGCCAATTAAATCACTTTCTCAATCCCCTCTTATCTGCCTGTGTCGCATTTGCATCTACGTTTATTTTTATTTTGGGAAAACGGTAATTTTTAAATACAGCAGTATTTCTTCAATTACCAATCTCTTAAGTACCAATAGCTTATATTACTATAAACATAAAATGTAACTGGTTGGCACTTAACCGGTTTAGGCTGTTGTCAAGAATGTACGTATGTAAGCCATAAATTTTTGTACATCTGTATATGTCACGCGACTTGTTTGCACCATTTACGCATGCCATGTTGTATATGAATAGAGGTTACACTGCCATATGAGATGTATGATTTTGTAAGGTAGTGTATGGTTCTGGTGTCCCGGCGACAATGGTGGCGCATTTACGCGCGTTGCATGAACCGATGCTGTAATTATAATGGAGTATTTTCATGTTGTTTCAGCGGTCTTTCTTATTAGGTTATATGTCAAGCAAATTACAAATTCAAACCGAACATCTGACTGAACTAAACGGTCAATTGATAGATATTTGAGGCAATCCCGACGAACCCTCAAGCCACATTAATTTTCTAATTAGGTGTCGCATATACGTGGCTATTGAGCATGGAGAATAATTAGTGTATAAAATAAATAAGATTTTCATACAATACAAAACTTAATATGTGCATTGATTAAAACTTAATACGGTTTGATATTTTTGTAGCACGATTCGTAGGCCGCCTGTATATGCAGAATATCTAAAATTAGCAACATAAATTCGTTTGCGACATTGTAAATATACGAATCTGTAATCACTCGTACACTTCTTAACATGAATTGTATTTTTCTCATTTAACATTCAAAATGCTCAGATTCTGCTATTTTGCGCTCCACCGAAGGGCAGAAATTCTGGGTGAAATCGGCTAATAATTTGTTTGTGGTGAAATACACTAATGTTGGCGAGTAACCCTCCGTCCAAGAGGAACATTTGACAATCGGCACACCATGAACCTTCTCTCTATGATATACGTTCTCCTATTTGCTTCTGGCAATTTATCGTCGATTCGATTTCGTTCTATCATCCACGTGTTCGTCACAATACCATAAAAGCTAAAATATTGGAACTTATTAAAAACTTTAATAGAATTGCTTCCAAATTTATTCATTTGTAAGATTGTCACATAGTAAACTGTTGATTCAAATATTGGTTTTGCGTATAATCGAAAAGACCAAAATTCAATCAGATTCTGTGACCAGAATGGGTTTGCAATTCTGACATTTACACAAATCTGTCTTGGAGTTAGGTTTTGACATGCTTGTTTACGTTCTCTGTTCATAGGAAATGTATCCTACAAAACTGGTAAAAGTTAGCAAAATGGTTACCGGTAGGTTATCAGTAATTTATTCATTAGTTATCCGATAGGTTACTTTTGTTCTTGCTTCTAGAAGGAAGAATAAAAATGAATAAATAGTTTGTTACAGTATCTATATCATATTTTAAAAATAAATGCATGCAAGTTTGTACACAATTCATACAAAAAGTTGATGGCTACAATATTTAACATTCTACTTAACATAGACATGTTGTCTACAGTGTTTACATTGCTTTTCATGTTAAGAAATGTCAAAAATTGTACTGATATTTTAATATAGAATCTTTTGTCTGGTTCTCGTAACCTTCAGGGTTACCTCATGATTCACATGGGTTACCTATGTTAAGGTAACCAAACCAAAGATTTTAGGCTAAGATGAAGAAATCTTCCACCTTCAATTTTGTGCTAAAATGCACCAAATAAAACAATTTTTAATTACAATAAATATAGTATATATACATATTCAACGTAAAAATATAGAATATTTCCCAGATATGAATCAATTATTCATAATTATATATTCTTGTAATGCTGATATATATGTGGCATTATGGCTTCAATTATATACATATAACATCTAAAGAGTTTTATAATTTAACAACAAGGCTAAATGGCGATAGTTCACGTAAAAGCCGTAGAACTGGATCAGAGCACTCATTTCCTTCTCAAACGATTTACGCACAGCCTCCATGTCCAACACTTGGAATATTTCAAATCGATTCGCAGCAAACATGGCGAAATGCGTGTTGGATTGAAATCGGGCATCTCATAGTAATCATTTTTCGAATTCTTGATCCTCAGTTAGAGAGGGCGTTTTGGTATTTGGGAGATATTAATGATTTCCTTTAGGCGCCGTACAACCAATGTTACGTTATTTGATGACACACCAACAAAATGGAAAATATTAAGGGTCATCTAAAAACACTTTAAAAATACACAAAGTAAATGAATTAGCTTTTAATTTAAGCACTCAGTGTTTAGGATTCCACTAAACATTCAAACTAAACATGTTCCAATGACGGATTTGCCCTACAATAAAACAATATTAATATTTTCACTAGTTATTTGGTACGCTCCAAGTACCATCCAATTCCTTTGACAGACAACTGAACTCTTATGCTTATATAGAAAATTATTATGTAAGCGAATCGACGAAAGTAGCAAAGTTGTTATAGCATACGGTAAAATGGTCTGACTCAATAACAGTAAAAATGCCGAAGGTAAAGTGCGTCACCTGATAATGATGATGCCAGATTGTACCTGGAGAATGGTGCTGCCAAATTGTACAGCATAAATCTCTCAAATTAAATGAACTTATTGTTAATCGTTAACATTCCTCCCCGGCTGAACCTTCTGGGTTCAGAACTTCTTGATTTGGGTCAATAAGACGACAAATCTTTTGCACTGGACGTTGGCAGTAGTGTTTTACAAAAAGTCCTTCAGGTGCACGTTTGTCCCTGTTATATTCCACAGTTACTATTCGTACCAATCCGTCACTCCCCGGGTGAACCTCCGTGATGCGTCCCAAGCGCCAATGCGTAGGGGGTAGATTCTCGTTTAAAATCAGTACTACATCTCCTTCCTGTAGATTCTGACGTCGACTTTCGCACTTGCGGCGCGCCTGAAGGTTGGATAAATATTCATAGTTCCAACGCTTTCAGAAGTGTTCGAACATCTTTTGTAATTGCTGAGAATATAAGAGACGGTTTATTGGAACATCCGCAACAGGTGGTTCTGGTCTCGAATTGAGCGGTCGACCAATGAGAAAGTCGCCAGGTGTGAGAGCATAACACCCACTTGGATCATGATGAAGAGGAACGAGTGGCCTGGAATTCAAACTGGGCTCAATCCTAACTAGTAGAGTAATCAGTTGATTGTAGCGTAAGATTTGGTGACTAATTGTGCGATAGAGATGCCTTTTTGCTGAACGCACAGCTGCCTCCCAAAGACCTCCATGATGGGGTGCGGCTGGAGTGATAAATTTCCATTGCGTTCCGAAAGATGATACATGCTGAGTTGCGTATATATTTCTCCAACTTTGTAGGTCTTTGCTTGTCATAACCCGACTAACACCTACAAATTGCGTTCCATTGTCGCTATAAAGAACCGAACATATGCCGCGTCGGCTTATGATGCGATCAAACACATCAATGAACGCCTGAGTTAACAAATTTTCCGCAAGTTCGATATGTACGGCCTTTGTAGCCATACAAATGAAAATCGCGCCGTAAGTTTTAGTCATTGTAGTGGATCGCTTTCCTCCACGACAAACGTTGAATGGACCGCAATAGTCCAACCCGGTATGGGTAAACGGTGGGGCAACCATAACGCGTGATTTCGAAAGTGACGACATCTGTTGCTGATGCGTTATCCGGGAGTGTCGACGGCATACGACACACTGATGTAGATATGACTTTACGATCCTACGTGCATGCAGAATCCAAAATCGCATGCGCAAGTACTGCAGCATTTCCTGTATCCCACCATGGAGACCGCACTTGTGAGCATCAGCTACAAGAAGTTTTGCCAAAGGACAAGTATAAGCAAGAATGATTTGATGTTTTTGCACATACGGTAATTCCGAGTTTGTCAACCGACCTCCTACGCGGAGTATGCCTTCTTCATCCAAAATCGGGTTTAATGGAAGCAGTTTGCTGGACGAGTCAATGCTGGTACGAGATTTGAGTGATTTAATTTCAGAATGATACATATTACCTTGACTTTGACGAATATGCGTGATCAGTGCCCACTCTTTCTCTTCAGCAGTAATCAACTCATTTGATCTCTGATTCTTGAGTGCCGGCATGAAACGACGAATTCGCGCAGTTGTATTAAAGAAGGCATTTTAACGGCTAAACCTTGCTACCAAAGGTATTCGCGCTGTTTAAAAGGATGTCATCAATAAACCATTCCCAATGCCAACGCCAAGATGTACCCTTAACAGTCGGCTTTCTCCGATCAAAATTTAGGTTTCTTCAGTTGTGAGACATTAACCGCGTGGATGAAAAGAGGTCCCTTCCATCAAAGTTCGTTCCCCTTGATAGCGACCGGTGTAAGTCCGTGGCTCGCGCAGTCGGCGGGGTTGTATTCCGATTGAATGTGTCGCCACGCGTTTATATCCGATTTTGCTTGTATGAGAGCTATCCTATTCGCCACGTACGGTTTCAATGAAGAGGGTTGACGCCGAATCCAATGGAGAACAATTGTCGAGTCACTCCATAATATGTATCCGTTTTCTCAAACTGCAAATCACGACGAATGTTGTTCATAGTCGTAACCAGTAGTTGTGCAACAGAAAGTTCTAGACGAGGGATCGTCATTTCCTTCAGTGGGGCAACTCTTGTTTTTGCGACAATCAAGGATGTTTGGCATGCTGCGCCAGCACTGGTATTCCGTAAGTAAATAACTTCTGCGTAAGCTTTTGTACTTGCATGTAGCGTCGATACTGAATTTTTCTTGATTCCTAGCCATCGTGGTATTTTGATATTTTCAAGACCCTGCAGACTGTTCCGGTATTTCATCCAAGTCTCACGAATATCGGATGGTAGAGGCGTATCCCAACTCAGCTTTGCCAACCATATATTTTGAACAAATATCTTGGCCGACACGACAACTGGTGTCAGCATCCCCAGTGGATCATACAACCTTGCAATATCACTCAATCCATTCAGTAGTCAAAATTGTGTCAAAGTTACGTACCTTAACCTTGAAAAATAAGGTATCAGTAATAGGATTCCAGTGTAGGCCCAATACCGTTGTGCTGGAATCGCTAAAATTTATCTCCGATGCAGACGCCTTAGAACCACTGATTCTTTCCAGGGTCTGAACGCAGTTGGAGTTCCACTTATCTAACTCAAATTTACCTTGCTGAAGAATGGCATCAACGTCGCGTGCACGGTTGATGGCCAGTTCCTGCGTGTGAACACTTTCCAAATAATCATCAACATAAAAGCTATGAAGGATGCTGTCCTGTGCTGCGGCTGCCCGGCGAACGTCAGCAATCACTTCCCAATTATCATAGGCACACTGCCTCAATGTTCTAATAGCATTAAAAGGACTGCTTGCCATACCGTACGTCACTGTCGTAAGTTGATAGGTACGCAAGCATTCATTAGGGCACTCCCTCCAAAGTATCTGTTGCCATTTTCGATGCCTGGAATCAACCATTACTTGTCGGAACATCTTTTTGATATCAGCTGTGAAAGCAACTGAATACCGCCGAAATCGATGAAGTATGTCAACCAGGTTTTCCTGTAGCTGGGGTCTACTTATTTGCGTATCGTTAAGAGATACGCCGTTGGTTGTTTTACACGATGCGTTAAACACTACTCTGAATTTAGCCGTAACAGCATGGTGAGGGATGTAATAATAGCTTCCCATGCCAACTGGAGAACCATCTATCGCCTCCATGTGTCCCAACTTGATGTATTCCCTCATGAATTTGACGTATTTCTCCCTCAGTGCGTAGTCGTTTGCCAATATTCGCTCTAGTTTCAAAAATTGTCGAAGTGCCGCCGGATGGGAGTTTTCGAGTGCAGGTGCATCAGATCGAAACGGGATCTGTACAATATACTGACCATTCGGAAGTCGCGTAAATCTTTTCACATTCGACCACCTCTGCTTTGGTGTTGTCAGGAGGTTCTTCGATTTCCCAAATGTTTCGTAGAAGTTTATCGGTGGTAGAATCCTCTTGAACGTCCACAAGAGATGAAAATAAGACTGATTTCGATTCGTTCGATACTACCGGACCAAGCACTACCCATCCGAGACGAGTGTGTAATGCGCAAGGTTCGTTATGAGGACCGACAACAACATCGTTTAATGCAAGGGCAGGCCAAATATCTGCGCCAAGCAGTAGTTCTACGGGACCTGGTATACCGAACGCCGGATCTGCCAAACGAAGACATTTTAAATGATGACTGGTTCTGATGTCTATGGTGGTAACAGGAGTCATAGACGTGATTGAATCAATGATGTACGCATTAAAACTGATCTTGAACTTCTCATCCGCGTGGGACTGCATACTAACTCTCACAATGCCTTTTGTACGGGTTGAAAGACTTTGATCAATACCTTCGACTTGACACTCGTACAGGCTTCTAGGAAGATTCAAAACAGTTACTAATGATTCGCAAATGAAGCTCACCTGAGAACCAATATCGCAAAGTGCAAAGCACGTTTGCCGTTGCTAAGAGAATAGTCCGGTCACCCTGCAAGAGAAATGACTGGACGTCGCTCTTTTGTCATTGTTGTCGGGGAAGTACCTTGGGCGCCACCAATGACGCTGTAGCCGACGGTCCAGGAGTATATCTGGTGGATGTGCCTTCAACGCTTCTCTCGTGGGGCCTGCTACACAGTAGAGTATTGTGTTTCTGCTGGCAGTTGAGACACAACCCAGATGGACAGTCACGATTACCATGACCGGCCTTGAGGCAATTGAAACATAATGATGCCTGCTTCACCAGATCCCAGCGTTTATCAAGTTGAAGATTACGAAACTTTTGGCATTTCGTAATGCGATGAAATTCATTACAAGATGGGCAATTAGTTGCCCTGTCACGTGCTGCTAACGGAGTAGCAATTTTTTCAGAATTCATAGCCAGATGCGTCTTCACGACACGACTTGGTGTGCGTCCGCTGATAATATATGGAGTAATTGGCGAAGATGTCGGCAAGTTGGCTGCACGCCGTTCCACGAACATTATAACGTTTTCCATCTTCGTGATGTCATTGGATTTTAGGCTCATTCCCCACTCGGTTCGGGTAACAAACGCTAGTTTCGGTAATAGCAATGGTACGGCTATAGCATCCCATTGTTTTACTGGCACATTCATCATTTCAAGCGCTCTAAACGAATTACGTACACTATCTACAAAATTTAGTAGAGTAGCTCGAGATTCTTGTGGATGGGTCGGTAAGTCTAGTAGATGCTGAACATGGGACGGGGGTTGTCATAACGTTGTTTCAATTCAGCCCAGACTTCTTCATACCCACCTGTGTACACGCCACCTACTAATGCAACATTTTCTGCCTTCACATGCTGTCGTAATTTTCCCAGTTTATAGGTGGGCTGTAAGTCACTTCTGTTGTGAACTAGTGTCTCAAACATATCCTTGAACGCTAACCAGTTTGACGGCTGTCCGTCAAAGCTTGGAATTGAAACGGGATCCAACCGTATGTCTGGAGCCTGACTGTACTACTGGTTGGGGAACTCACTAGCGCTAACGAATAATTCATTAGAGTGATTACAAAGTGATTATTAAAATGCATAAATACAAAGAAGCAAGTAACAGGCAATTTTATTTAAAAAAAATGAGTCAACTTTTTTTCTGTCTCTAAGTTTATACTATGGGTATTGTATGCTTTTCGAGTTCATATATTTTATCAAATATAGTCTTATCACCAACCGCCGAGTATTCGAAAAACTTGTGGAGCGTCTCCAAAGCCTCTAAAGCTTCATGCCTGGCATAGTTTCAATTTCTCTATCCGAACTCGGTGATTGATCAGCATCATCGTCACTTTCATTCCCGTCAGTTACGCAATTTTAAATGATTTCATCTTCGGTGAGTTCTCCAGACATTATAACTTGTTGATATTTATGAACTGCAGTGAGCATGACAAATAAGTTAATACAGTTATATATTATTTCTTTGAATTACAAGAAAACAACATAGTTCCTGGTTCCTGAAAGAAAGAATATTTCATACATAGGAAAATTGTCGCTTATAGAGTTAAGTACAAAAGAGGCTCTCAGTTATAGAGGTCAGAGTGCGAAAAAGGACTGTCACTTATGGAGGATTTTGTTTCTCACTCATAGAGGTTTTTGAGAGGTCAAAGCTCGGCACCTGAGAATTGTTATCACTTATAGAGTTTTCTCGCTTACCCAGTTCTCTCTTACTCAGGTTTGACTGTACTTACCTTTTTTATAAACGCCTTTTGATGCTATAAAGTAAAGTTGCAAAACAGCCGATGGGACTATCGATAGTTATATAGATGATAGAACAAAATCGAATCAACGATAAACTGCCAAAAGCAACTAGTTAGCGAATTTGTAATTGCAAGAATGTTCTAGAAGCAATGTTTTGTTACATATAAGGGCTGCCGGATTGTGCAGCAAAGACAGTTCTAGTTAGAGTGTTGTCGTGATAAGAGCAATTAAGCTATAAGCAATAAGTTGTAAACTCGAATATCGAGCAATAAGTGTTAAGTTGTTGGAAATAAAAGTAAAGATAAGAGTATAGCCATTAAATTGGGACTTTAATTTGACAATCAAGAGTGAGTTACAGGTAGACGATTTATCCGTTACAATTGGTGTCAGAAGTGGGATTGTCAAATAAATTCCCAAGGAGATAATTATTTGAAAATGGCTCAGTGTAACGATCTGAAGATTCCATACTGAAAAAGGAGCTGGAGCAACATGGTTTGGCGACAAATGGATTATAAACTGAATTACCATCACGGTTGAGAGAGGCCATAGAGGCGGAAAACATTAATGATGACGAATATGTCTTTCACATGGAATTAGAGGAAGAGACAACAAAGATAGGAGAAAAGTAAGAGGCTCAATGCTCGTCAAAGATGGTGGACATAAACATGATTTTTACTGCAATGTCCCAGATGTCAACGCAGATATCAACAGGGGTGTCAACGCAAATATCGACACAAATGGCAGTTAGAATCGCGGCTGTCAACGCAGTTCGAAGAGTAGTTCGCAACGCAAGATGCACGTATATCAGCACAGGTGTCCTCACAGTTGAAAGAGCCGGATACACGGATATCGCAGGTGACCTCACAAGTAGCAGAAGCGTCCTCACAGATTTCGGAAGAGCGGGATAAAATTAAAACAGAAATAGATGAATTGAAAGATCGTCTCCGCGAGCTACAATTAAATCGGCCAATTGTGTCAACAGCTTCTGCCAAGGTAAAACCTCTATCCTTTGATGGCACGGTTCCGTTCCACGTTTTTAAGCTTCAATTCGAAAAGACGGCATCTTCAAATAATTGGAACGCTGAAGATAAAGTAGTTGCATTGTTCGTTGCATTAAAAGGATCTGCAGCGGAGATGTTACAGACCATTCCAAACTGCGAGGCGAGTAGTTATGAAACGTTGATGGGTGCATTAGAAAGAAGGTATGGTAGTGAGCACAGGAAGCAGATATTTCAAATCGAGTTGCGAAATCGCCGCCAGAAAGCCAATGAGTCTCTGCAACAGTTTTCTACAGAGATTGAGAGGTTATTTACTTAGCTTATACACATAAGTCCATGGAATACATCGAGGACACGAAAATTTATGCTTTCGTCAATGGAATACGAGATAACACCACACGCTCCGCTGCATTAGCATGTCCAAAATTGACGTTTGCAGAAACCGTTTCGTATGCTCTGACACAGGAAACTGCATCTCTGCTTTGCAATCAAACATTTAAAGCTCATACAGTAGAAGTAGGGGAACACACTTGGGTAAACCAATTACTTGAAACAATTGACAACATGCAGAAAGCTCTAGAAAAGTCTACGGAAGCGCGTAAGAAAAATGATGGTACGGTTAAATGCTTTAACTGCGGAAAAAGTGGCCATATTGCAGGCAACTGTAACCAGTCTAATAATCCAGTTGAACGTAAACGCAAAGCTGAGGAAGATCAAGAAAATGTCAAATCAAACCAATCGTTAAACTAAAGCGAGCCAGCCGAAAAGGGCACGGGCTAGCTCCCGCAAGCAAATGCCCTGTAATCTCCATTTCACAATTAAGCAGGAATACGAGTAACGTTACCATTAGTGGATGTGTAGACGGTAAAAAGCGCATACTGACTGTGGATACGGGCGCATCACATTCCATAATTCGATCTGATCTGGTTGAGAGAGAAGTGAGACCGTTAGCTGAGGCAAAGTTGTGTACTGCAACTGGAGAAGATACCCTAGTTCTCGGAAAGGTAACGTGCGAGATTGTAATTAGAAAGGCAGCCGTGTTACACAATTTTATAGTGGCAGATATCGTTGACGAAGTCATAATTGGAGTAGACTTTCCAGCGAATCAAGCAATCAAAATTGACATGGAAAACAGGATTATGTCCTATAGAAATATGGAAGTAGCACTTATGTTCGGTTATGATAATAAGTACAACGTTAGACGAGTGATAACATCAGAGAGCCAGCAGATTCCACCAACATCAGAAGCAGTTATTTGGGCAGAAATAGATGGAGACTATGGGCCAAACAAGTGATGGATTGTTGAGGCCATAAAAGAATCTACACCAAACTTACTTATAGGCAAAACCCAGGCTATGACAAGACTAGATAAACGTGTTCCAGTAAGAGTACTTAATGAGTGCAAGTTACCAATCAAACTCTCCTAAGGAGCTGCATTAGGGCAGTGTCAAGAGATTGAGGCCATGATAAATTGCGAAATAGGTCTTGAGGAAGATTCCATGGGCGAAAATGATATATCGAGCGAAATTAACGCATTGACCGAAGAACTAGAGGCAAACTATCAAGCTACGTCCAAACAACTTCTTCTCAGTTACTCATCCATATTTGATAAAGACGATGCCAAACCAGGAAGAACCAAAGTTGTGAAACATTTTATTAACACAGGTGATGCAAGACCAATACGCCAGGCTCCTCGGAGCGTTCCTTTATCAAAACGTAAAGTTGTAAGCCAGACCATACGTGCAATAACATGAGATTTTGAGTGGACTATAGAAGGTTGAATGATGTAAGAAAGAAAGACAGTTATCCACTATTTAGAATCGATGACACACTGAACTCGTTATCAGGAGCAAAATGGTTCTCAACACCATCAACTCAAAGTGGTTATTGGCAAGTGGAGGTAAACGAAGAAGACAAAGAAAAGACGGCTTTCAGCGTTGGAGATGGTCTATGGTAATTTGCCGTAATGCCCTTTGGATTATGTAACATCCTGCCACTTTGGAGATACTTATGGACCAGGTATTAAAAGGATTACACTGGAAAAACTGTTTGGTATACCTCGACGATATCATCGTGTTGGGTAAAAGCTTCGATGAACACCTTAAGAACTTGGAAGAGGTTTTCCAACGGATAGCTAGCGCTGGTCTGAAGCTGAGTCCAAAGAAGTGTTCCCTTTTCAAAAAGGAAGTAAGCTACTTAGGACACAAAGTGACAACGGAAGGCATTTGCACAGCTAATGAAAAGATCGAGGCAGTAAGAGATTGGCCCATTCCTAAAAATTTACATGAATTGCGGAGTTTCCTTGGACTCTGTACTTATTATAGATAATTCGTTCCAAATTTTGCCAGCATAGCTAGTAGCCTCCATGAACTCACAAAAAAGAACAGAGTTTTTGAATGGAATAAAGAACAGGAAGTGGCTTTCAAAACTCTGAAGAAACGGTTAAGTACTGCGCCAATGTTAGCAAACCCGGTCCCAGGATCAAAATTTATTTTGGATACGGATGCTAGTGGATGTGCAGTAGGAGGCGTTCTATCACAAGTCATTGATGGGCATGAGAAAGTGGTTACTGGCGTTGGTGAAGAGCATCAAACATTTTCATAAGTACCTTTATTGCCAGCGATTTCGGGTGAGGACAGATCATGCAGCATTAAAATGGCTTCTAAAATTCAGGAACCCAGAAGGACAGTTGGCACGGTGGATTGAGAGACTCCAAAGTTACGACTTCTCTATAGAACATCGCAATGGTAGTAGTCATGGAAATGCTGATGCCATGTCCCGCAGAAGACATTATAGACGTCCGATTAATGACTATAACATCAAACTGGGATCCAGAGAAGCTACACGGATTGGAGATGAATAAACATCCAACGAGAGAAGAAATAGCTGCAGAAAACCCAGTCGCAAAGGCTTATTGGGCACAATGGAATAGTTTGAAGTTAGTGTCTAACTGCTTCCATCTAATATGGGAAAGCGAAGATGGGCAAAGTTCAGAGCTCTGATGATTGTTCCAAAAGTAAGAATTCCTGAAGTTCTCAACGAGCTGTAGAACGGTCCAAGTGAAGGACACATGGGTATCACTAAAACCTTGGAGAAATTAAAACAAAGATTTTATTGGGTTGGTTGTCGTCAATCAGTTACGGAGTGGATCGCCAATTGTGTCGAGTGCATTGCTGCTAAAGGGCCCCGGTCCAGAAGTCATGGTCAGATGAAGCAGTACAATTCAGGTGCGCAGTTTGAGCGAGTAGCCATTAATGTAGCTGGTCCATTTCCTATCAGTAAATTAGGGAACAGATATGTTTTGGTAGTCATGGACTATTTCAGCAAATGGCATGTATACGCAATTCCTAACCAAGAGGCAGGAACAGTAGCGGATATATTCATCAACAATTGGGTATCGAGATATGGTGTTCCCATAGAATTGTTCCTGATGGCTTATCGGTCTGCTGTACACGAAACAACGGGGTAGACTCCAGCAAGGGTAAGTTTTGGTAATGATCTTCGACTACAGATTGATTTAAAATTTGGAATTAACGCCAACGGAGGAAGGAATACTAAGGAATTCAATAACATCCTAGAAGACGAGATGAGGGATATACATGCTATGGTGAGACAGCGCACCAAAATTATGAGCGATAAGATGAAAGCAAAATACGACAAGGCAATAAACTCTAAGGGTTTTATTGAAAGCGATTGGGTATTGTTATATAACCCACAACGAAAGAAAGGGTTATCTCCCAAATTACAGTATAATTGGGAAGGACCATACCAGGTTATTAAACGACTCAATGATATAGTGTATCGCATACAGACCGTTGGAAGACCAAGGAATAAAATGAAGGTGGTTCATCTGGAACGGCTTGCAGCGTTTGGTATCGCAAATATGTCTAATCGGGACGATCAGACTTAGGTAGAGGGCAGTGTGGCGAGCACGAATACTAGAACAAATCATAATCGACGATAAACTGCCAGACGCAACTAGACAGCGAATTCGTAGTTGCCAGAATGTTTTAGTAGCGAACTTTTGTTAAAAATTTACTATATAAGGGCTTCCGGATTGTGCAGCAGACACAGTTCTAATTAGAGTGTTGCCGTGTAAAAAGCAATTAAGCTATAAGCATAGTAATGGGTGAAACTTTACAAATGAAGTAGTGAAATGGTTACCTCCATCTTGTGGGGTGTGTATGGATGTTTG